CCTTCCTCCTCTCCCTTCCCCTCCCTCCTTCCCTCCCTCCCTTCCTTCCTCTCCCTTTTTTCCCTCCCTCCCTCCCTCCTTCCCCTTTGTCCTTCCTCTTCTCTCCTTCCCTCCCTCCCTCCCTCCAACACTGGAACTTTTGAAGAAGAGACTGGACAGCCATTTGTCTGAAATGGTGTAGGGTTTCCTGTCTGAGCAGGGGGTTGGACTAGATGACCTCCAAGGTCCCTTCCAACTCTGTTGTTCTGTCTTTCCTTCCTTCCCTCCTTCCCCTTTGTCCTTCCTCTTCCCTCCCTCCCTCCCTCCAACACTGGAAGTTTTTAAGAAGAGACTGGACAGCCATTTGTCTGAAATGGTCTAGGGCTTCCTGCCTGAGCAGGGGGTTGGACTAGATGACCTCCAAGGTCCCTTCCAACTCTATTATTATTATTATTGTTGTTGTTGTTTTGTTGTTGTTATTGTTATTGTTATTTATGTAAGTTTACTTAGCTACACCTAATCTACCCCTAGTTAGGTAGGAACCCACCTTGTTGTCCTCCTTTCCACCAAAGTTACCCCAAAACATTCCCAGTTTTGGAATGCTGGAACTTTCCAGCAGACAGCCATCCAGCTCTTCTCTGGAACCAGCCTGGACCTTACCGGTGTCGTCTTTCTCCCCCCCCCTCCCCCGACAGGGGTTTGCGTGCAGACGGAGACGGTGCTTCGCCAGGCGATCGCCGAGCGTATCAAGCCGGTTCTGATGATGAACAAGATGGACCGGGCGCTGCTGGAGCTGCAGTTGGAGCCGGACGAGCTCTACCGGACCTTCCAGCGCATCGTGGAGAACGTCAACGTGATCATTTCTACTTACGGAGAGGGTGAAACTGGACCCATGGGTAATATTATGGTAAAGAGAACTTACCTTGAGATTGGACCAGGGAGGACTGTCTTGTTTCCCTAGAGTTGGGTTTGCGTGGTGGTGGGGGGTCGCGCTAGGCGGAATCCGGCGCAAAGGAGCACGTCCTGCGCATAATCGCGTTTGGGGTGCTGTGTCAATTTGGGAAGGGGGCTGGATTGCCCTACAGGTAGACCAGGGGTGGGATTCAGCCGGTTCCCACCACTTCGGCAGAACCGGGAGCTAATTTTTTCTTGCCCGGGCCCAGAATGGACTTCCGGAAGCGGCATCCACACAGAGATCCAGTTGTTCACCTATTTGAATCCCATCACTGCTTGCTTGGTTGCTTTCTTCCTTCCTTCCTTCCTTCCTTCCTTCATTCTTTCCTTCCTTCCTTCCTTCCTTACTTCCCCTCCCATTTGTCTTCCTTCCTTCCTTCCTTCCTTCCTTACTTCCCCCTCCCATTTGTCTTCCTTCCTTTTCTCCCTCCCTTCCATCCATGCTCTCCTTCCTTCCCTCCTTCTTTTCTCTCTCCCATCCATGCTCTCCTTCCTTCCTTCCTTCCTTCCTTCCT